CCCGTGTGCATCCTCCTGTGGATGGTCAAGTCGGATTTTTGGATAAAACCTTTGCCGCAATCGGAGCAGGAATATGGTTTTTCTCCCGTGTGGATCCGACGGTGTTTGACCAACGCTGAACGTTGAGCGAAGCTCTTGCCACAATCTCCACATTTGTAGGGTTTTTCCAACACTGGTGGGATCATCTCCAGCATTTCTCCATTTTCTGTCTCCTTCCCACAATCCATACAATGTTGACTTCTTGGTTGGATCTCCACACCACAATTTTTCTCACAATCTTCACATTTATAGATATTTTCAGGTGCTTCTTCCATCATCTTCCTCTTCATTTCTCCATGTTCTGTCTCCTTCCCACAATCCATACAATGTTGACTTCTTGGTTGGATCTCCACACCACAATTTTTCTCACAATCTTCACATTTATAGATATTTTCAGGTGCTTCTTCCATCATCTTCCTCTTCATTTCTCCATGTTCTGTCTCCTTCCCACAATCCATACAATGTTGACTTCTTGGTTGGATCTCCACACCACAATTTTTCTCACAATCTTCACATTTATAGATATTTTCAGGTGCTTCTTCCATCATCTTCCTCTTCATTTCTCCATGTTCTGTCTCCTTCCCACAATCCATACAACGCTGACTTCGTGGTTGGATCTCTACACCACGATTTTTCCCACAATTTCCACATTTATAGATATTTTCTGGTGCTTCTTCCATCATTTCTCCATATTTTTTCTCCTTCCCACACTCCATACAACGTTGACTTCTTGGTTGGTTTTCCCCACCACAATTTTTCCCACAATTTCCACATTTGTAGATATTTTCTGGTGCTTCTTCCATCATTTCTCCATATTTTCTCTCCTTCCCACAATCCATACAACGTTGACTTCGTGGTTGGATCTCCACACCACAATTTTTCTCACAATTTCCACATTTATAGATATTTTCTGGTGCTTCTTCCATCATTTCTCCATATTTTTTCTCCTTCCCACACTCCATACAACGTTGACTTTGTGGTTGTTTCTCCACACCACAATTTTTCCCACAATTTCCACATTTACAGATATTTTCTGGTGCTTTTTCCATCATTTCTCCATATTTTCTCTCCTTCCCACAATCCATACAATGTTGACTTCTTGGTTGGATCTCCACACCACAATTATTCCCAAAATTTTTCATCTTTTCTGGCAATTCTTCCATCCTTTCTCCATTTTCTGTCTCCTTCCCACAATCCATACAACGCTGACTTCGTGGTTGGATCTCCACACCACAATTTTTCTCACAATCTTCACATTTATAGATATTTTCTGGTGCTTTTTCCATCATCTTCCTCTTCATCTCCCCGTTCTCCGTCTTCTTCCCGCCGTCCATGCCCGCTCGGCCTCGTGGTCGGAGTTCCATGGTGCTACCACCACACTTGGAGGTCTTCTCTGTTGATGGACCACCAGAACCACCACTAAGACCACCAGGACCACCAGGACAACCAACAGGACCACCAGAACCACCAATAGGACCACCAGTACCACCACCAGGACAACCACCAGGACAACCACCAGGACCACCAGGACAACCAACAGGACCACCAGGAATTCCACCAGGACAACCAGGACCACCAGGATCTCCAGGACAACCACCAGGAACTCTACCAGGACCACCAGAATCACCACCAGGACCACCAGAACCACCACCAGGACCACCACTAAGACCACCAAGACCACCAGAACCACCACCAGGACCACCAGGAACTCCACCAGGACCACCAGGAACGCCACCCTGCCCACCAGAAACCACCAGTAAGACCACCAGAACCACCACCAGGCCCACCAGGACCACCCCCAGGACCACTAGACCCACCAGCAGTTCCACCACCGCGTTGCCCCTTGACCACGCGGCGACACTGGGAGCACTGGGAGCACTGGGAGCCGCGCCGAGCAGCTAAGAAGGCGCCGAGGTGTTCGGGACAGCGCGTACTGACTCGTTTAGCCGCGTGGACCTTCCGGTGTCGATCGAGGTGGGAACTGACACTAAAGGCCTTGCCACAATCCCCACAGGAGTACGGTCTCTCGCCGGTGTGGACGCGCCGATGTCGCTCCAGGTCGGAACGTTGGAGGAAACTCTTCCCACAATGAGTGCAGGAAAATGGTCTCTCCCCAGTATGGATGCGTCGGTGTTGGGTGAGGTTGGAACCTCGACTGAAACTCTTCCCACAATCCCCACAACGATGAGGTCGTTCCGAGCTATGAGTCTTCCGATGTTTGGCCAACGCCGAACGTTGCGCGAAAGTCTTGCCGCAATCGCCGCAACCGTGAGGAGAAGATCCTTCTACTGGTGTTACTGGGAGGGGAGGAACAAACTGGAGAAAAGAATGAACCTTCCGGTGTCGCTCCAGGTGGGAACTGACGCTGAAAGTTTTCCCACAATGGCCACAGGAGTAAGGTCTCTCCCCGGTGTGGACGCGTCGGTGTCGCTCCAGGTCGGAACGTTGGAGAAATCCCTTCCCACAATCCCCACAACGATGAGGTCGTTCCCCAGTATGGATCCGTCGGTGTTGGGTGAGGTTGGAACCTCGACTGAAACCTTTGCCGCAATCGCCGCAACGATGAGGTTTGTCCGTCGTCTCGCGACGCCGTCGCACGCAGTCGCCGCAACGAGAGCGACGTCTCGAAGGGTTTGGAGTTTTAGTGGGTCGACCACATTCGGTACAACCTCCAGGAAGGGTGGAAAGGGTCTTCTTGCTCCTGGTTCTTTGGCTAGGGTTGGGGGGTTCTTCGTCTTGGGGTCGCTCCAGGGTTGGATTCTCCTCGGGGATGACTCCGGTTGAGTCGTCCTCGGTGCCACTTCCTGTGGGGAAAAGAGGAAATTTTTTTTTTCCAAGCAGGAAAATTTCGTGTCCTGCTCGAAATGGCTCTTTGGGTTCCTCTAAGGTCTTTGTCGTGGTCCTCCAGAGGGTTCTCCAGTATGAACTGGAGTCAAGGACGGAGCAGGAATTGGGTTTGGCAGGCAAAGAATTCTGGGATTCATTGGGTTGGAAGAGATCTCCAAGATCATAGAGTCCAACCAACCCATGGGAGAGACCTCTAAAATCATAGAGTCCAACTAGAGTCCAACCAGCCCATGGGAGAGTCCTCCAGGATCATAGAGTCCAACCAGCCCATGGGAGAGTCCTCCAGGATCATAGAGTACAACTAGAGTCCAACCAGCCCATGGGAGAGTCCTCCAGGATCATAGAGTTCAACTAGAGTCCAACCAGCCCATGGCAGAGTCCTCCAGGATCATAGAGTCCTCCAGCCCATGGGAGAGTCCTCCAGGATCATAGAGTCTTCCAATAAAATCCTCCCCAATAAAAACTCCTCCATGTCTCCGCTTCCAACTGGAAACCAGTTCTAACCTCCAAACTGGAACCACCATCCCCAACCTCCATTTTGGTAGTGCCAACTAAGTTTTTTTCCCTCCCAAACTTACCTCCATCTTTGGAGTTTTTCCGTCGATTCCGACGTTTTCCGCTTTGGCTTTGTTCTTTTACTAATTCTTTTAACATTTTTTCCACTTGGTTTCTTCCTGCTGTTTGTAAAATCAATCCCAACTGTCTCCTCAGGTCAGAGCTCACCCCGACGTCGGTGCCCGTTGTGCCCATCAGAGGTGGCACTTGAGTTGTTTCGGGTTGGCTTTGGTCGCCTTCGGCATCTCCACCTGGACAAAAAAAAAAAAAAATAAAAAAAAAAACAATAAAAAAGGGGTTAGGCAAAAAAAAAAGTGAAAAAAACTTGAGCAAAGTGAAGAAAAGATGAAGAAAATAACCCAAAGGAAAGAAAAAATGAGAAAAGGGGAAAAATAGGGAGAAAATAGGGAAAAAAGATAAGAAAAAACCAAAATAAGGTCTAAAATCTTCCAAAAAAGTCCCCCTAAAAAGCCAGAAAAAAAAACCACAAAAAAGGCCAAAAAAAAAAGTCCCTCAAAAAAGCCAATCTTCGCAAAAAAGGCCTCAGAAAAAGGCAGGAAAACTCCCAAAAAAGGCCAAAAAAACCCCTCAAAAAGGCCCAAAATCTTCCCAAAAAAGTCCCTCAAAAAAGCTAGAAATACTCCCAAAAAAGGCCAAAAATCTTCCCAAAAATGTCCCTCAAAAAAAAACAGAAAAAAAAGCAAAAAAGGCACAAAATCTTCCCAAAAAAAGGGCTCGCTAAAAGAAAGGAAAAAAACCAAAAAAGGCCAAAATCTCCCAAAAAAAGGCCTCACAAAAAGGCAGAAAAAAAAGCAAAAAAGGCCCAAAATCTTCCCAAAAAAGTCCCTCAAAAAAGCCAGAAAAAAACCAAAAAAAAACCCAATAAAACAAGGGTTTAGGCAAAAAAAAAGCAAAAAAAACCTTGAGGAATGGTAAGAAAAGATGAAGAAAATAACCCAAAGGAAAAAAAAAAAGGAAAAAAGGGGGAAAATAGGGAGAAAATAGGGAAAAAAGGAAAGAAAAAACCAAAAAAAAGGTCCAAAATCTTCCCAAAAAGGGCTCACTAAAAGAAAAAAAAAAAACAAAAAAGGCCTAAAATTTTCCAAAAAATTCCCCCTAAAAAGCCAGAAAAACTCCCCAAAAAGGCCAAAAAAACCCCCCAAAAAGGCCAAAAATCTTCCCAAAAAAATCCCTCAAAAAAAACAGGAAAAAAAAGCAATAAAGGCCCAAAATCTTCCAAAAAAAGGCAGGAAAAAAAGGCAGGAAAAAAAGCCAAAAAAGGCCCAAAATCTTCCCAAAAAAGTCCCTCAAAAAAGCCAGAAAAAAACCAAAAAAAAAACCCAATAAAAAAAGGGTTTAGGCAAAAAAAATTAATTTTGAGGGTAAAGCTGAAATTTTGGGGTTTTTGGGGGGTAAACATGAAATTTTGGGATTTTTTGGGAGGTAAATCTGAAATTTTGGGGTTTTTTGGGGAGGTAAATCTGGAATTTTGGGGTTTTTTTTGGGGGTAAACCATGAAATTTTGGTGTTTTTTAGGGGTCAAGCTAAAATTTTTGGGGGTAAAACATGAAATTTCGGGATTTTTTGGGAGGTAAATCTGAAATTTTTGGGTTTTTTTGGGGCTAAACATGAAATTTTGGTGTTTTTTAGGGGTCAAGCTAAAATTTTTGGGGGTAAAACATGAAATTTCGGGATTTTTTGGGAGGTAAATCTGAAATTTTGGGGGGTAAATCTGAAATTTTTGGGTTTTTTTGGGGCTAAACATGAAATTTTGGTGGTTTTTTGGGGGGTAAACATGAAATTTTGGGGGTAAAGCTGAAATTTTGGGGCTTTTTGGGGGGTAAAGATGAAATTTTGGGAGTCAACATGAAATTTTGGGAGTTTTTTTGGGGATTAAACATGAATTTTTGGGGGTTAAACATGAAGTTTTTGGGGTTAAACATGAAATTTTGGGGGTAAACATGAAATTTTGGGATTTTGGGGGGTTAAACATGAAATTTTGGGGTTTTTTTGAGGGTTAAATATGAAATTTTGGGGGTAAAGATGAAATTTTGGAGTTTTTGGGGGATAAACATGAAATTTTGGTTTTTTCTGGGGTAAAGATGAAATTTTGGGGGTAAACATGAAATTTTTGGGGTTTTTGGGAGGTAAACATGAAATTTTGGGTATTTTGTGGGTTAAACATGAAATTTCGGGGGTAAAGGTGAAATTTTGGGAATTTTTTTGGGTTTAAACATGAAATTTTGGAGTTTTTGGATATAAACATGAAATTTTGAAGTTTTTAGGGGGTAAAACATGAAATTTTGGTATTTTTTGGGAGGTAAAGATGAAATTTTGGGGTTTTTTTGTGGGTAAACATGATAGTTTGGGGTTTTTTGGGGGTTAAAGATGAGATTTTGGGTTTTTTGGGACTTAAGATTAAATTTTGGGGTTTTTTGAGGGAAAACGAAATTTTGGGATTTTTTGGAGAGGTAAATCTGAAATTTTAGGGTTTTTTTGGGAGGTAAATCTGAAATTTTGGGATTTTTTTTGGAGGTAAACATGAAATCTTGGGTTTTTTGGGGGGAAACCATGAAATTTTGGGGGGTTTTGGGGGTAAAAATGGAATTTTGGGGGTAAACATGAAATTTTTGGGGTTTTTTTGGGAGGAAAATCTGAAATTTTGGGGTTTGGAATTACCTGAGCTGAGTGGTCGTCGTCGGTGAGATTCGGCGAAGGCCGTGATGCGCGGCCAGCTGATGGCAATCTCCTCTGCTAGGGGAAGAAAAAGGAAAAAAAATCAAATTTTGGAGAATTTTTAGGTGTTCTAGGACTCCAAAAAATCTGCTCTGTGAGTTTGGGGAAAAGGTTTTAGGGTTGGGGGAAAAAAGTGAAAAAAAAGGCAAAAAAAGGCAAAAAAAATGGCAAAAAAAGCAAAAAAAAAAAAGCCAAAAAAAAGGCAAAGAAAAAGGAAAAAAAAAAGGAAAAAAAAAAAGGAAAAAAAGCAAAAAAATAAGCCAAAAAAAGCCAAAAAAAAGGAAAAAAAAATCAAATTTAAGAGAATTTTAAGGTGTTCTAGGACCCCAAAGTATCTGCTCTGTGAGTTTGGGGGAAAAGATTCTATGTTTGGGGGAAAAAAGTGAAAAAAAAGCCAAAAAAAGGAAAAAAAAAGGGCGAAAAAAAGCAAAAAAAAAAAAGCAGAAAAAAAAGCCAAAAAAGCCAAAAACAAGGAAAAAAAAAGGAAAAAAAGCTAAAAAGCAAAAAAAAAAGCAAAAAAAAAGCCAAAAAAGCAAAAAAAGGCAAAAAAAACGCCAAAAAGAAGCCAAAAAAAAAGAAAAAAAAAGAAAAAAAAAGCCAAGAAAGCAAAAAAAAAGCAAAAAAAAAGCCAAAAAAAGCAAAAAAGAAAGCAAAAAAAAACAAAAAACAAAGCAAAAAAGCCAAAAAAGAAAAAAAAAGAAAAAAAAGCCGAGAAAAAGAAAAAAAAGCCAAAAAAAAGAAAAAAAAAACTTCAGAAGGAAAAAACGGCAGAAAAAAAACTAAAAAAAGGAACAGGCCCCCAAAAAAATAAAGGTCACCCAGAAAAAGGCTAAAAAAATTCACTAAAAAGCAAAAAAAAAGCAAAAAAAAGCAAAAAAAAAGGCACAAAAAAAGGCAAATAAATATGTGAAGAAAGCTACAAAACCCACAAAAAATGCCAAAAAAACAAAAAAAAACCAAAGACGCAAAGAAAAACCAAACCCAAAAAATCAAAAAAATGAGCCAAAAAGCCAAAAAAACCCCTAAAAAAACTCCAACAGGTAAAAGAAAAAAAAATAAAGGGAAAAAAAAAAAACCAAAAGAAAGAGAAAAAAAGGCAAAAAAGATACAAAAGAAAAAACAAAAGAAAAAAGGCAAAAAAAAGACAAGAAAGAAAAAACCAAAAAAAGACAAAAAAATAAAAACAAAAAAAGAAAAAAAAAAGAAAGAAAAAACCAACAAAAAAGGGAATAAAGAAAAAACCAAAAAAAATTCTAAAATGGTAAAAACAAAACAAAAAAAAAACAAAAAAGCCAAAAAAAGCCCAAGAAAAGCCAAAAAAAGTGCAAAAAAGCCAATAAAAGAAAAAAAAGCCCCAAAAAAGCCCAAGAAAAGCCAAAAAAAACCCCAAAAAAGCAAAAGAAAAAAAATCCCAAAAACCCTTAAAAAAAAACCCCCCAAAAACCCTCAAAAAGGCCAAAAAAA